AAACTTAACAAAGACCTAGTAAATGCTCAAAAATGGTTATCAGCGAATAAACTAACATTAAACAACGAAAAACCAAATATATGATTATTGGATCTCGGCAACGATTGAAAAACTTAGATCACGTGCCAAAAATCAGTATAAACGGACATCAAATTGAACGAGTTTATAAAAAGGAAGCTTTGGGTATAGTTATAGACGATAGACTTAGCAGGAATAGACAAAATGAAGAACAATGCAACAAGATATCAAAAAATATTAATCTTTTAAGAAAAGCCAAAGATTTTGTTGGCCTAGATACGCTCAAAATTATGTATAACGCATTAGTCGCGCCTCATTTTAACTACTGTTCAACTGTTTGGCAAAATAACAACCAAACACACTTAGACAAATTATATAAGCTTCAGAAACGAGCAGCAAGAATAATAACAAATTCGGACTATACTATAAGATCTTCGGACATTTTTCAAAAACTTAGCTGGAAACCTCTTGACTTAGTTTTCAAAAAGCGAAATCTCCTTATGACATTTAAAGCGATTAATGGCATGCTTCCAGAATACGTAACACAACTATTTCACACTTGCGAAAACAATGGTTACGTACTGCGCAGTAGTAATTTAAAGCTGTCAACCTAAACCAAAAACGAATTTCTTGAAAAATAGCTTTTCGTACAGAGGAGCAGCGTATTGGAACAACATCCCAGTAAACTTGTTGAAAACCCTAAGAGAGTCAACAAGTTTAAAATCTGTCCATCATCTATTAAATAATTACATCTTGTAAATAAGTAAATAAGTAAATAAGTATATTTTGTAAATAAGTATAATTTAGTTTAGTTTATTAGTTTCTTTCTTTTATAATGCATTTATTTTCCGCACGGCCCTTTGAAAATCACCTATGTGAAAGGTTACCGTGTTTAAAGATCAATAATAATAATAATAATAATAATAATTATAAAACCAAAATTGCTCTAGTTTTTAAATCAGCTTTCTCTTGCTTTCACTCGGAACAACGTACCATGAAAATGATGAAATAGCTGCGTTTATAATACATTAACCAGAATTTAGTCGATCATGGCTTCATGAGACTTGATTGTGAAATTTTGTTTTAGTTGCTGGTGTGATATGTGTCTGTATTCACAGCGCACAAAACTTGCTTCCTATGGACAAGAATGGTCTCAGTGATCCTTACTGTATTGTTTATGAAAATAAAAGAGAGGTAAGTAAGTAAAGTTGCTAAAGTAGTCTTGAACTGTTTGTGCCAGTGAGGTAGTGCCAATAATAACTATAGTTGGTAGAGATGTTACTACCTGAAAAATATAAGAGAATTTCGAAATTCTCCCTATATGTTTCAGTTAGTTGCATCCCAACCAACGAAAGCTTGTTATTAGGTAAGAAAAGTACATCTTTTGAAGTATAAGATCTCCCTGAGTCAGTGTGTTGAAAATGCCTTACTATGGGTACAAATAAACTGCAAAACATTTTTTTGAAAAAAGTAACAACAACTATACACAAAGACAAAATTTTGCACTTCGGCAAAAAACTGTCGTCGTTGTCCACAATGATCCACGGCATTTTCTTCTGGAACTACGACAATTACCGAGATAAAATTCCAGCCATGAATTGCACTGGATTATAGTAAAGAGATGACCATTACTGCCGCACTTCTAGACAGAACAGTTTAGAACTGGTATAATAAATATAGTTAAAGTTAGTATAATATTTTTTTGCCTGCTCTTGTCAACGATACAATCGTACAAATGAAAAAATCTTGTCGTTCATTCGTTGTTTTAGGTCAAAGCCACGTCGTGCGTGGAGAACACGTTGGATCCAGTGTGGGATAATGTTGTAGAATTCTGCACAGCGGACTACACCAAAACTGTCGTCTCATTGGTTCTTCATGATAAAGACGTCACAACCCTGGAGACTTTGAGGATAAAAGATGACCCTGATGACTTCATGGGATCATGTAACTTTTACCTTAGCAAGGTAAGCTGTTAGAGGTGCCTTTCACCTCTGAAATCGTGGGTTCGATTCTCGCTATGGACTCATGTGAAACGAGTCAGTCAACGCTCTGCCGAAAGTCCCACAGCGAAAGTTGACAGGGTGGATTAGGATAAACACAGTTAAGAACGTAATATCGCAATTTTTGCAAAAAGATAAAGCATGTAATTAGGTAAGCGTAACACTCGATCAATTAAATTGATGACCCTATAACTGGACTGCTAAGAAGAACAATCTACGACTCTCATGATACTGACCGAGCTATTTAGTTCAAAAGGATCCTATCGCCTGTATTCTAAAAGATCACTCACACTCAAAGAGTGGAGGATCTGAGCTTCTCTTGAATGTCAATGCTGTTTTTGAATAGCTGGAGGGTTAGTCGTACCTTACTCTGTGACTACTCATCCTCCAGCTATTCAAAAACAGCATTGACACTCAAGAGAAGCTCAGATTGAACCTCCACTCTTTGAATGTGAGTAAGCTTTCAGAATACATTGTGTGAATTCAGCTTTTCCATATCATGTAACTCTATTTTAGGAACAGCCGTATTTCTTCAAGAGGACGATGGATGTTCTGTTTCGCGTTCGTGCTGGCAAAGATGGTTTGAAAAGGGCGGGAATAATATGCGTATCCGCTTTATTTAGACCTGTGCCCGCAGTAGCGAAAACAGGTACGATAAAAAACGCAGGACATTTCTGTCATCTTATATACTGGAATGCCATATACAATTTTCTTATATACAATTTTCTTACAATTTCCAAAGGTCGTAGCCCGTAGGTTCGATTCCCACCGTGGTCAGGCATATTTTTCAAGCCTGCCCGGTGTGGATATACACTCAGAGTAACATCTCATTCACCTGAGTACACTACACCAACACAGCAAATTTTCTTATTGTTTACAAAAGCGTTTTGCAAGTCGAGATTGTCGAGGTTTTTCACAATTTGTGGCACCATAATAATAGCTATATGGTTTGTGGCTATAAAGTGCGCCTGTTCCCGGCATCCCTCGTGATTTTCTGACTCTGAAATCTACATATGCCGGAAGTTTTATATTTGACTTGTACAGGAAATTTTTATTTTTGGATTTTGCTGAGAAGTATATTTTCTAGGCTTGGTTTACTGACGAAGACACAGAATTAATATGGACAAGTACCTAAATAATCTCTATATTTATTTTTATTTTATTTCCAGAAAAACTTCGCCCCATGGGTGGATTACCGGATGGCGAACCGTTGGATAAAGTAAGTAAACATAATTCCGTTAATTATAAGTACAAAAAGGCACAACGTTCGAACGTAGTCGAGTCTTACTATACTCGTAAAATGTTTAGAAATTTTTGAAGAAGAAGACAGATCCCCAAGCATTGGAGGCCTTACTTATTGCAGGTAAAAAATGATTCTTTGTTCACTTTTGTAATTTTCTTCTTGTTGTGTCTTAGTTGTATATTTCAGAACGAACATTACGTACAATACACACATGTAGTTTTAAGTTATATCTCCTATTTATTTTTTACTGTTTTAGAAAAAGGTGGGATTGAAATTCAAATTATTCAAGGACGTAATCTGGTTGTAATGGACATGACAGGTATGTATCTTTCGAATTAATTTGACTAACGTTATTTATACTGGATTGAACTCCCGTTATACAGATGTGAGCGACAGATAGCTATGCTGAAAGCTTTAGCCACCAACACCAATAAGCTTTATATTGCTGAGTAAACTATAAACTGAGTTTCTTTTTCGTTCAAGGCGATAGTGATCCATTTGTTACGATCAAATACGGATCAGGAAAGGAGAAATTCAAAAGTAAAGTTATTGATAACACGCTAACTCCTGTGTGGAATGAAACATGCAGACTGCCTTTGCCAAATGAAGACGATAAAATGATAATAGTAAGTTGAAATTCTATGCGTTCTTAAATCTATACTAAATTGCTTGATCAGTTCTAAACAGGAGCACCCAAAGAAAACCTTCCGTATATCTGGAAACACTGGTTACATTTTGATCTAACAACTGCGTGTTATAGAAATCGAACCCCATTCACGGAATAAGTGAAAGACCGATATGCACATTTCAACCAAGATTTTGTTCGATAGTATACAACAGAACACATTGGTATCAAAGGTACTAGACTTAGTTCCGAAATATCACACACTCGAACAGACTTGGCCTCGTAGCTCAGTTGGCAGAGCATTGGACTTGACTATTTCTCGTGTTGACATGATATCTTCCATCTTTCACCAAATGAAAATATTTTTTACTATTTTTTTTTTATCTTTTGTTTTACTTCAGGATGTGTGGGACAAGGATCCATTGAGTCAGGAGAAAATGGGTCATGTTACGTTTACCTTGGCACAGCTGAGAGAGAAAGGAAAAGTAAGTACGATAGTATACAAATAATTTTTAAAAAATTTTTTAAAAAAAGTTTAAAAAATTTAGAAATAATTTTGGTGGTACTTAATTGAATCTTATTTAAGATCTGTTGTCCTTTCCCTTCAATCATTTGTTAATATATATTATTGATTGTAAAGTTAGTAAAAAAAATTTAAAAAGTTACGATTAATATTTTTGGGTGAAAAATGTAATCGCTTCACTCATTCATGTCATGATCCTATCTATTCGGTATTCAACGTTGGAGGATTGATCTCTAATAATTCTTACCTCTAATTATTTTAACTAAAGAATCCTGGTGTTAAAGAATGGTACAAACTCAAGAAAGTCAAAACAGGCGAAATCCAACTGGCGTTCACGTATATAGCTCCACAGGTAGCGTATAATGTTGTTGTTATGAATTTACATTTTGTACCCCTTTGCTGCCTCGTATCTCTCCCAAACATGAACGACCAGTGGTATTGTGGTACAGTGAATTATTAGTGTATGCCTTTCACATATCAAACTCAATAATTCATGAGTAAATTAGCCAACCATATTGCTTTATTTTGCTCACATGATAATAATGGCTACCTGGTGAAGTATATTGTTCCAGTCCTAGGACTTGATCAAAATTAATTAAGTAGTGATTTATTCGTATGAGATGTCATTTCAAATCCTCCAATTTCAAGTCCTCGCTTTTTTATCCAGTCCTCGGCTTCCCCTCGGACGTGATCAAATTGCGATGACTTGAAATCTAGTCCAGTCCTCATAGTCGGATTTGAAAGATTGCATCTCAAACTTATTAATAATTCATGAGTAAATTAGCCAACCATATTGCTTTATTAGTTTATTTTGCTCACATGATAATACTGCACTCCTGGTGAAGTATACCGATCCAGTCCTAGGACTGGATCACATAGTCGGATTTGAAATATTACTTCTGCGAATGAGCTTCGAGTCCTACAATATACAGTTGTCTGACACCACTCTTCTTAGAGTGTTGCCAGTTGGACTCTACCAAACAGCATAAGCCTTCTCCAAGTACTCTTCTATTTTGGAATATTCTGCGGCGTTCTTTAGTGTATATATATATATATATACAGCTAATTCAATAAAGGTTGTCCTTTGCAAACCTTACACTTTAAAACCTTAAACCTTAAACTCTAAGCGTGCAAAGCATGATGGGAGCACTGATTCAAGCTTAGTAGTTGATTATTGCAGCTGTTTGTCAATGAAATGTTTTTGCAGGGAGATATTTATCATGTCTCCTAGAAATGGGTTCCATATATGCTTTGTAAACTGCTGAAATCGTGTTCCCATTATGCTTTGCGCGCTTAGAGTTTAAGGTTTAAGGTTTTAGAGTTAAGGTTTCAAACGACAACCTTTATTGAATTAGCTATATATATATATATATATATATATATATATATATATATATATATATATATATATATATATATATATATATATATATATATATATATATATATATATATATATATATACAGGGTGTCTCAAAAAAACCCAAAATCATTGAAATTGACGTATTGTTCGATATTCAATGCCCTAGCACTAAGTTAATCCCACGAGTGCATAAAAGATTGACATAACTGCTATAATGAATGGTAATACTCAGCGTAAACTTGTTATGTCGGGCATAAAGTACTAAACCCACGAATGCATATTACGCATATTACAATTTACGAAGCATTTTTAAATTCCCATGAGCAAACAAACGTTCACTTTACAAAGATATTTTAATTTTTTAAAACAAATTAATCACCCTGTCAAAATCCTTTTTGTTACGGCATTGAAATTCGAACAACACGTTATTTCAATGATTTTGGGTTTTTTTGAGACACCCTGTATATATATATATATATATATATATATATATATATATATATATATATATATATATATATATATATATATATATATATATATATATATATATATATATCTTTAT